TTTTTTTGTTGAGAGGTTTTTGCTATAGGGCGCATGTGCTCGCCAGAAGAAAGACAGAAACAGAGCGATAGAAAGCGAGAAATCACCCCTCAGGGGGGATGGCCATGCAGCAATCCCTTCTCCTCCATTCTCCTCTCGGGATCTTGGGCACGTACGCACACGCGCCCGGCATGAGTTTTAAGCCACAGGTCCGGGACGCGAACCGCAGTCAACTACATGGGAGTTCAGCGACATAGCCATTACGCTAACTGCTGGTCCCCCCATCTCTCTCTTTTGGAGCAGTTTTTAGAGCTGTCCCAGGAGGTCGGACACTACGGATACCTGCAGCTGGATCCCTGCACCTGCGACTTCCCGGAACCGGGCTGTGGAGTGGTTCTTTCTGTTGGCAACAACGAAATCAGCTGTCACATAACCCTGCCTGACAACCAGACCCAGGACATCATTTTCCAGATGAACAGGGTGAAGTGCTGGCAGGTCACTTTCCTTGTGAGTATGACGGCACCCTGCTTTATCCACGACTTAAAGTCTCACTGGGACGGAACAATCCTATTGCTCTTGGATGGCAGGGTGGACACTAGGCTTTCCTTTTGCCTCAGTACCTGGAGCAGAGTGGCCTCGAAGCCACATTAAATATTGGCTATGGTTACAGCCTGTCCATAGTCTGAATCAGTCATCCCACCTCCTTTTCTACTGCGGGAAGTAATAGCTGGTAATAACCGCCACCACTTACCGACCACGTGCTCTGTGCTTGGCCACGTGCTCCTGACCAGGTCACTGCCCTTGGGAAGCACGTGATGTTCAGCAGATCTCTTCTTAAGGATCCTTGGCCTCATACCTACACGTCCATCTCCTCGCAGGAGAAACCCTTACAGTCAGAGTTATCGAGTGCTTATTTTGTACTTGATGCTGTGCTGGGCACTGCCACATCTATAATTAATGAGATTCTTACAGGAGCTCAGTGAGCTTCAGTGAGATTGCCCTCTTCACACAGGAAATTGAAGTTAACTATTAGCTTTAATAACGAAAGCTATTAAAGGGTCCAGACAGTGGTGCAGCAGTAAAATGTGACGCTCTGAGAGACAGAGCGTTGATGGGTGTGCTGGGCACATGGTTGCCCATGATCCGAGGCTGGCTGAAGGCGGATTGTGGTATCAAGACTCTGTTGGGGGACCAGCAGGTGGCGTGGTGGTTGAGGTGCTGGATACTCTCACGTGACTGACTACAGTTTGAGTCTTGAACCTGGTGCTGGCTTTCTCTCTCTCTCTCTGGTCAAAATAAAATGAATGAATGAATGGATTAAAAATTTAAATAAAAAATAATTAAAAAAAAAAAGACTCTCTTAGGCGTTCTGCCCCTTCCCTTCTCAGAAGTAAATAAATAAACTAAAAAAAGTTATTAGACCAACCATGATCCCCACTTGTTAAATCCATGGAATCCATGATTTTTCAGCTGTCCTAGAACTTGGCCTCTCCATGGCATTTGAGAGCATCAACCATTTCTTCCTTCTCAAAGCCCCTTCTACTGCCACCCCTATTTATGTGGGTCCTCTATTCCTCTGAACATCCCTAAAGTGCTGGGGGCTTTTAGGGGGTGCGTTCCATTTTTAGCATTGTTCTTCTAAATACTTTCTGAAGTCACTTCCCCATCCCTCCCAAAGGCCCAGTGTTTCCTATTGCCTCTGGTCACCTTTGTGGAGAATCTCACTGACCCATCCACGTCAGGCTTTCCCCAAAGCACACGCGTCCCTTCCCTCTCGGGCTTCTCCTAGAGGGCTTTCTCCTGTGTTCCCTTAGTAAATGGGACTTCTACCACCACCCTCTAATTGCCAGAGATCTTGAAATGATCAGACTTCTCTCTATCTCTCACTCTACATTTTCAATAGTTAGTGGAGACCTGCCTATTCTAATACCTTCTATTCCTCAGACGATCTTTCTTTCTCTTCAGGCTCACAGCTTGGCCCTAATATTCTCTGCATAGATGGATTAAGCAGCTTCCTAACCCTCCTCCTTGCCCCAATCTTTTCTCCTTCAGGTCAGAGAAAGTATATAGTATGGTTTCAGGCCTTTTAAACTTTTGGAAACTTGTTCTATCTGGTAAGTGTTCTATATGCATTTTGTTTTGTTTTGTTTTGTTTTGTTCTGTTCTGTTTTGTTTTTGCCATAGGACATGTGTGCTTGCCTGGGAGAGATAGAAAGAGACAGTGAGAGGGGAAGTGGGAACTCACACTCCAGAGGGGATGGCCACACTGCAATCCCTTTTCCTCCATTCTGCTCCTGGGATTTTGGGCATGCATGCATATGCCCGCAGTGTAAGTTTCAAGCCATCAGATCTGGGACTTGAACCATGGTGGGCTATGTGGGAGTCTGGTGCCTTAACCACCACATCACCTGCTGACTCCCACATGTATATCAAAAGAATGTGCTGGGATCAGCAGTTGGCGTAATGGCCACATCGCTGGACTCCCATGTAGTTGACTGCAGTTCGAGTCCCAGACCCGGTGGCTTAAAAAGCAGGTTTGCATGCGTACCCAAAAATCCCGAGAGGAGAATGGAGAAGGGATTAAGGCATGGCCATACCCCCTAGGAGGTGATTTCTTGCTTTCTGTCTCTCTGTCTCTCTCTGTCTTTCTGGCGAGCGCACACACCCTATAGCAAAAATCTCTCCCAAAAAAAAGAAAAAAGAAAAAGAATGTGCCAGTCCAGGTAGTGGTGGAGCAGTAATGCCACTGGACCCAAGAGGGAGAGGTCCCCAGGACTGCCCTACTGCCCTGAGCATGCCAATGGGCATACATGATTCAACTCTACCAAGACTGTGGTTGGATTGTGACATGAAGACTCAGAGGTCGGTCAGTCTCTCTGTCTCTGTCTCTCTCTCTCTCTAGCTCTCTCTGTCTCTTTCTCTTTCTCTCTCCCAAACACACACACTCTCACACACACACAAGAAACAGTAAATAGGCTTTAGAACATAACAAAATGATGTACCTCATGCAACTGGATAGAGTATTCTATAAATGTCAACCTCTTTGAAGAATAGGTTTTTTTTGTTTGTTTTTAGCTCAATATGACTCTTTGGCAATTCATCCAGGTGTTATATTTATCAGTGGCTTGTTCCTTGTTATTGCTGAGCATTCATCCATGGTATGGAATTGCCAAAGTTTGCTTAACCATTCACTCAGTGAAGGACAGCTGTTTGTTTCCAGTTTTTAGCTGTTATGAATATGGCTGCTATAAATATTCATGTACTAGGTTTTGCCTGAGCACACGTTTTCATTTCTGTGGGATAAATGCCCAGGAGTGCCATTGTTGAGTCATATGGTAATTGCATAGTTTGTTTTTTAAGAAACTGCCAACCTGCTTTCAAGAGTGGCTCTATCATCTTATGTTCCCACCAGCAACGTATGAGTGATCCAGTTTCTCTGCACCCTCACCAGCATTGGGCAGTGTCACTACTTTTTTATTGTATTAATTGTATTTTTATTGTATTTATTCTGGTGGGTGTGCAATGGCATTTCATCTGAGTTTTATTGCATTTCCTCTATGTCTAACAATGTTCAGCATGTTTTCATGTGTTTATTTGCCATCTGTATTTCTTCTGCAGTGAAATATCTCTTCTTACCTTTTGGCTATTTTGTATCATTTGGTTTATTAAGGTTGAATGTCAAGTTCCTTCTGTATTCTAGATGCTAGTCCTATTTTGGCTATCTGATTTGCAAGTATTTTCCCTCACTCCTTCGTTTTTTATCCCCTTCACAAGGTCTTTTGCAGAGAAAAAGTCTTTGTTTTTGTTTTGTCTTAATTTTTGCCTTAGGGCACCTCTGCTCCCCAGAGAGAGAAGGAGACAGTAAGAGGGAAAGTGAGAAACCCGCCCTAGGGGGGATTGCCATGCAGCAATACCTTCTCTCCATTCTCCTCCCAGGACCGTGGACATACACACACACACACACACACACACGTGCACGCGCGCTGGGCATGATTTTCAAACCACTGAGTCCGGGACTCCATCTGCAGTCAGCCATGTGGGGGTTCCAGCGATGTAACCACTGCTCTATCTACTGGCTCCTGTTTCTGTTTTTAATTTTTATTTTTGCCAGAGAGCATATGTGCATGCTCACCAGAGAGCGGTACAAAGACAAGGGATAAGGAGAACAAAATCACCTGCCAATGGGGTGTGATCATGCCCCAATCCCTTCTCCCCCACTTCCCCAGCCTGTCAGGATTTGGGGCACACATGCACATGAACCTAGGATGTTTTCATGCTGCTGGGTCTGGGACTTGAGCTCCACACTCGGCCATGTGGGAGCCTGCTTCCTTAACCGCTAGGCGACAGGGCCAGCCTGCAACAGTTTTTAGTTTTGGTGAAATCTAATACATTATTATTTTTCTTTTATGGACTGTGCTTTCAGTGTCAAGTCCAAGATCTCTTTGCCAATACCCTGGGTCCTGAAGGTTTTTTTCTCTTTTTAATTTTACAATGATAAAGATTTTACATTTAAGTTATGCCAGGTTTGCATGTAATTCCATAAAACATTTGAACTAATTTTTGTATAATCTTAGGAGAAGATTCCTTTTGGCGCTGTAGAAATTCAGTCACTCCAGGACCATTGCTGCCATTCAACTGCCATTCTTCAGCCGAATCACTTTTGCACCTTTTGTTAAAAATCAGTTGTGTATGTTTGTGTGGGTCTATTTCTGGTTTCTCTGTTCTCCTCTGATCTATGTATCTATTCCTCCACCGATACTCCGTAAGCATTTTCTTTCTTTATAACTATTTATGATATAATTTATGTACCACATAGTTCACCCATATAATGTATACAATTCAAGGGTCTTTAGTGTATTCATAGAGTTCAACAATTACCACAATCAATCTTAGAACACTTCAGAAAGAAGTTCCACACTTTTGCTGTCACCATCCTGCCATTCATACTACCCTAAGAAACCATTAATCCACTTTCTTTCTCTGTAGATTGTATTTGCCTATTCTGAACACTTTCTATTAATAAAACAATGTAAGGACCAGCGGTTAGCGTAAGGGCTATGTTACTGGACTCCCATGTTGTTGACCATGGTTCAAGTCCTGAACCTGGTGGTTTAAACTCATGCCGGGCGCGTGTGCGTGCATGCCCAAGATCCCGAGAGGAGAATGGAGGAGAGGGATTGAGGTGTGGCCATCCCCTCTGGGGGGTGATTTCTCGTTTTCTGTCTCTCTGTTTCTCTCTGTCTTTCTGGTGAGTGCACACACCCTATAGCAAAAACCTCTCCAAAAATAAATAAGTGTAATTTGTGATCTTTGTGACTTGCTTTTTTCTTAGCCCAATGTTTCCAAGATTCATCCTGAGCTGCAGCATGTATCAGAACTTTATTCCTTTATATGGTTAAAAATAATATTCTACTATATAGATTTTATTTATCCATTCCTTCATTGATGGACATTTGGGTGTTTCTACCTTTTGGCTGTTATGAATTATGCTGTTGTTTGTGTGCAAGCTTTTGTGTGGACGTGTCTTTTCATTCCTCTTGTGTATACATGCGGGCGTAAGATTACTGGGTCAAATCATAATTCTATGTTTAGCTTTTAGAGGAGCCAACTTGTTTTCCAAAGTGGCACTACCATTTACTATCCCCACTGGCAGTGCATTAGTGTTTCAATTTCTCCACATTCTTGCTGGTACTCGTTATTATTTGATTCTTCCTTTATTGAAGATTACTGTTACGGGCGTGAAGTGGTGTTCCATTATGGTATTCCTTATTTCAGTTTATTTTCTCTCAGTGCTTCGTCTTGGGTAGTTTCTGTGGCCATGGCTTCAAGGTCATGAAGTGTAGTGTAGTGTCTAACATGCCGCTTATCCTCCCCAGGGCATCTTTTACTTCTCATATGGTACTCTTCAAACTCTAAAGGTTTCATTTAGGTCTTTTTTTAAATATCTTTCATTTCTCTCCTTACTATACTTACATTTTTTTCTCGAAATTCTTTAGTGTGTAGAGTATATTTAAGATAATTATTTTGATTTTTTTTTTGTCTATTAATTCCACAATCTTATTTCTGTGTCTGTTTCCATTGATTACTTTTTTTTTCCAATTTGCAGATCATATATATTTTCCCCTTTGCATGCTTGGTAATTTTTTTTTTTTATGACAGATTTTTGCTATAGGCCGTGTGCAGTTGCCAGAAAGATACAGAGACAGAAAGCGAGAAATCACCCCCTCCCAGGGAGTATGGCCACACCGCAATCCCTTCTCTTCCATTCTCCTCTTGGGATTTTGGGCACACATGCACATGCACCTGATGCGAGTTAAGCTGCTGGGTGTAGGACTTGAACTGCAGTCAACTAGGTGGGAGTCCAGCAACATAACCATTACGCCATCTGTGGGTCTGGTAATTTTGCTGTGACATGCTTAACATTGTGAATTTTTCCTTGTCAGATGCTGGATGTTAATGTATTTCTTTACATGTACTAAACTTTGTTCTGGCATGCAGTCCAATGACTTGGGGGTGGTTTTACTTTTCCGAGGCTTGCTTTTAAGCTTTGTTGAGGCAGGTTCAAACCAGTCTTTAGTCTAGGGCTAATTTAGTCCTTTCTTGATTGGCCACCATTATTAGGACTCTACCCACATCTTGTCTATTATGATCTCTCTACTTTGGCTAATGGGGACTCAGACACTCTCCAGCCTTGTTTTTGAGCTCGTGGAATTGTTCAGCCTACTGCTTTTTGGTGCTTCTTTCCAGAGCCTTGTGGAGTTCTATTCCACACAAGCACAGACCGTTATTTAGCCCAGATTTGAGAGGAGATCTCTTGTGTATAAAGCCTCTTCTTTGGTTTTCTGCCTTCCAAGTTCTAACCTCAAATTCATCTAACTTTTATCTCTTTCTCTTTAACTCAGCAAGGCCTCCAGGCTTTGTTTGGGTTTTCTCTCTCTGCAACACATCCTGGAAATTCCTCCAAGCAGTAAGGGGAAATAATTGTTTTCCTTCTCTCTGGAATAACGGTCTTGCATTATCTCTTGCTGAGTGTCTGTAAACAGCTTTTATTCCTAATTCATTCTTCACACTGATGCTGTCAGATCAGTATTTTAAAAGTATAAATTTAGTTGTTATTATCTGGCTTCTAAAAACCTTTTTAAAAAATTTATTTAACTTTATTTATTCATTCATTTATTTTTCATTTGACCAGACACACACACACACACACACACACACACACACAGAGAGAGAGAGAGAGAAGGTGAGAAAGTGAGCCACCAGGTCCAGGATTTGAACCATGGTCAGCTATGTGGGAGCATCCAGCGCCTTAACCACCACACCACCTGCTGTTCCCTAAAAACCTTTTAATGAATGTCTACTGTTCTCAGGATATAAAGCCTACAATCCTTAGCTTGGCTTATAAAATCTTTAAGAGCTAGAATTCTTTGGCAAATAACAGAAACCAACACAGCTGACTCTATTTAAAAAATTACAAAGGGAATAGGGAATTTATTGGAAGGATATGGAATAACTTAAAGATGCAAAGAACGAACTGAAAAAGAGACTTAAGAAATCCAGAAACCAAAGAAATTCAAGGTTTCTAGGGAACAGGAACTCTATTAAGATATGCTCCTTGGGTTTTTTACTCTGGAATCAGATAAGGAGCATAGAAAGAATTTGTCCAGTTGGCCTAAGCTTGGGTCATGCTACCCTCTGACTTGTCATTCCCTGACAGTCTTACCAGACTCCATTATTAGGAGAAAGAGGGATAAATGTTAAAAAGCAAACATCACGGGACCAGCAGTTGGCGTAATGGCTATGTCACTGGACTCCCACGTAGTCGACTGTGGTTCAAGACCCTGACCCGGTGGCTTAGACTCATGCCGGGCACATGTGCGCGCATGCCCAAGATCCCAAGAGGAGAATGGAGGAGAAGGGATTGCAGCGTGGCCATCCTGCCTGGGGAGTGATTTCTGCTTTCTATCTCTCTGTTTCTCTCTGTCTTTCTGGCAAGCACACAAGCCCTATAGCAAAAAAAAAAAAAAAAAAAAAAAAAAAAAAAAAAAAAGA